ATCAAAAGGAAAGGGTCTATAATTGGCTTGACCCCTGCTTGGAAGGAAAACCAAAAGGATCATACTGTAGGATGTTTAAAGTGTTTTTTGCAAGCTGACGAGCTATGACATATTTCTCATGCCAGGCTCTCTTTAAAGAAAGTCAATAAGTCCTTTGTATATGCAATTACGTTTTAAAATGAACATTGTAGCTGTTGATGAGGATGAATTACAGAAGTGTTGATAACTAGGTTTGGTGGTTGTACTAAAAGTTGTGATGATGTCCATTCATTTGTTGATGTATAGAAAGTATTTGGTATTGTATACATCAGTGATGATAAAATACTTTTGGTGTATTGCTTTCTAACTAAATGTTGTATAGCATCTAACACGTCCTCTTTAATTTTCAGGCTCCTATCCTCGAGCACAGAATGTCACTTGGAGATCCACCAACTTCAAAACCATTTTGACCTGGGAGCCCAAGCCCTCAGCGAATTACTCCTACACCGTGGAGTTCTCTGCGTAAGTACTGCACCTGCATCCTTTGAGAACATTACACTTAATTTCCAGCTTATTGTATTCTTCTAAAAGACACATTAGGGTTGTCAGTAAATCCGCTAAAGTGCACTCTCCCTGACGTGACCGCGGAGTAACCTTAAGAGATAAATGGCAGCAGGACACGATAAGAACCAGTTATTGATCCAGTTTGAGATTATACTGGAATGTCGATTTCAAGCCAGAGAAAGTCGAGACAGCACACAGACATTATTGATTCAACAAGAGAAAAATGAATTAGGCAAGAACAGTACAATGCTACCTTTGTGGCTCACGTTAAAATTGTTGCTGTTAAGTCGTTAGAGCACAAATATCTGCGTCAGAAAACGTTACAGTGTTTAGCCAGAATGCCCTTATTGGTTTCCGAAAATTATCATTTTAACAATCCATTAAATAGCATGGGCCAAACATGACTACATTGATTTTCCTAATGGAAACTTGTGGGAAACTTGTGGGACTTGCCATGGGATTATAAATTGTGCTTTAAATCAGTTTCAATGGGAACTTTTTTATCTTCGAGTGTGTGCATTTTTGCTACAGTTTAAAATAGATGTATCACAGGAGCTAAGGTGTGATACTTTGATATTAACATACCAAAATGATAAAGAAAATTGCAACAACTAAAACGCTGCTCCCCTCTATACTTATCTCTGATTAATCATTCTTGTTCTAGATTAATTAAATAATAGTCCTTGTTATAACTTACAGAAACTCGTTTTTTCTTGTGTCAGTGCTCCTTTTATCGCTCGTCTGATGTCTGAGACAGCTTGTATCCATCGCTCATGTCATGTGACTGATCATCTGTTTCAGGATTGGCAGGGACAAGGAGAGGAACCCTCACTGTATCCGGTCCACAGCCACAGTGTGTGACCTGTCCGCGTCCCTCACTGATCCGAATGTCTGCTACACGGCGGACGTCCTCTCCACCCCCCTGCTGAGGGAGCTCACTGAGCTCACAGAGTTCCCCAACACCGCCTCGCCTCGCTTCTGCCCCTCCAAAGATAGTAGGTTCTTGTTTATTTGTATTTCCCCTCTGTGCAGCACAGTTCTATCAAACACATTGTTCAGGCACATGTTCATGCAGGTCAGCAGAGGGAAACAGCTGACACACAGCCAGAGAAGGAAGTGTCAGCGACTCAGTTTAAACATGTTTTATTAGATTAGTCCCGCTTCTTATATCTACTGTTTGTTGTTGTTGTTTGCACAAATTACAGTGCAGAAGGAGGCAGAAAACCCCTTGGGCATATTTGAAGCCGCCACTTAAATAATGTTACATTTCACAATGAACTCCAATAATAATTCCAGCTTTCCTGTAATTGTGTGTGCACGCAGCTTCCTTGTTTGATGTAGCATTTCTAGCAACATTTGCTGTTGCAATCTAGAACTTGTTGCTCCTTAATTTATCCACTGATCTAAATGTTTGAGCTCCTTTTAGATCATCTGTTTAGATCATCTTGATATGATTTGTTTGATCCTGTCTGACTTTAAGTGATGATCACAGATAATAAGGTTCCATACGATGAAATACAATTGTAGAAATGACGGACATACAAACTGACCCCCCTGTCTCTCCACAGCTGACATCGGCAGACCTGACTTCAAGCTGAAGGTCGGCGAAGACAAAAAGAAGACCACTCTGTACGTGTCCGACCCAATCACCGCCCTCTTCAAAGATGGCCACCAGCAGACCATCAGGGACATCTTCTCCGACCAGCTGCAGTATAAAGTCACCTACCGGAGAAATAAGAGCACTGGCAAGGTGAGTGACAGCATTACAGTGTGCACCTCAAACACACAGTGAAAGGACGATGCAAACTCAATTCTTTCCTTCTGTGTGTGTGTGCAGAAAGTGTTATACTCTAAGAGCAATGAGATAGAGGTGAAGGATCTGGACCGAGGGGAGAGCTACTGCTTCAACGTGCAGGCCTACATCCCCAGCAGAGACACGGACAAACAGCTGGGGGAGATGAGCCAGACGCAGTGCTCTAAGGACGACAACCAGTCCATCTTCGAAGGTGAGGTCCTGATTCTCTGAGAGGTTGAAAACAGGAACAATGCGTCACTAACAAGTAGAAACCTGTGTAATAATCACACATCAACTGTCTGACAGATACTTGTGTGATTTACTTGCTGTCTAAAGGAACTTCAACACGATGTATTTGCATGTTAACGGTTAGATCCTTGTGCTTCTTGCGCACCGATTGTCATTTTGTACATTGGAGTGATATTGTATAACATGGGTGTCTAATTGCTCCTGTGCAAAATGCATGTATGCACACGTTATGAGTATTTTTCACCACCTTCAAAGTGTCAGTGGAAAGGTGTTTGCTTATCTTTAAGAAATAGATATTGGATGCAACACTATTGTTGTTCAGATTTGTTCCGTATGGGAATAAACATGAACATTTATTAATGAACATTGCAAATCCAAATGCAAGTTGTGTGAAAATGTTAAACATTAGCTGATAGTGGTAGATGTTCTTGTGTTTATTAGTGCAAACTCCTTTCAAAGCTAAGGTCACAGGAAAATCTCCGTATGCAACATTTTCGTGAAGCGCTGAGATTTTTTTTAGAAACCCAACAGCAACCTCTTGTGGAAGCAATAAGCGTTTATATATGTGTAGGTGGTATATTCCTGAAAGTGCCTTCTGGGTGGTTAGCATTGCTTCAGTTAAATAAAAGACAAACAGACGGCCACCAAGCATTAAAGACTTATACAAACACATATGTGATGCTGGGACGTTGGGATGACTCATGTCTCTTTGTTTGGATAATAAGAAATGCAACTCAGCAACACCCCCTCTGAGTGGGAGCTGATCGGTGTGTATACAGTATGTGTGTGTGTGGAAAAGCAAAAATAAATTTCCCATAAGGGCTCCACCCTCAGGACAAAACCTCAACCTTACACAGAGTTTTCCCAAAGACATCTGAAGGAGGGAGTCTTTTATATGATCTGTTTTTCTCTTGTTGCCAACGACTCCCACATTCAGCCCTAATGAAAAATGATATTCTAATATAGATATCTTGCGTAAATTGGTTATGGGTTGAGAGATATCTTAAGAGAAATATAGAAAGACCAGCCTTTCACTTTAAGACCTTTGACCTTAAGGGGGATTTTTGTTTTAGTGTATATTTCATTGCCTACTATCTTTTAAAGGTTTTTAATGTTAAGCAAAGCTCTTTAAAGTAACGTCTTGTTTTGTCTCCACAGTGTATTCAATCGGTGTGATCGCTGCGGCCATCTTCCTCATCCTGCTGCTGATCGGCCTCATCATCGCCATCACTGTGGTCTGCATCAAGCGTAGGAAGAACGCTCTGCAGAAGGAGAAAGAAGAAGTGCCTCTCAACCGTGTATAGAGACACACACGCACGCACACACACACACACACACACACACACACACACACACTGTGGGAACATGCGGTACAACTCCACTGCTCTTGTGAGGAGGGCAGATCTAATCCAGATGTAATGTCAAACACTGGAATCTATCCTTTAGTTTCTATGAAACTGCTTCTGAATATGTTGGACATATTTTATTTCTTTTTCACTTTATGCTGCCGAAAAAGAGACTTTAGCAACACTGTTTCAACACCTACTGTACACTCATCGTCCTGCTGAACTGTAATATTTCATTCCTTGTTTTTATATCTGGTACTGTTGACTGTAGATAAACACTACCAACTGATTTTATTTATTTCATTTTAAGTGTATTTTCCAACTTGAAACTTTTGGGAGACTTTATGGGAAATCAATCTAGATTATATTATTTTTGTATTTGATGCTTAATTTATTTTAACTGTGATTAACATATGTGTACATGATTTGATTTTTAGCTGTTTTACTTCAGATTGTTGAGGATTCTTTTATATTGTGGTGAAATGTTGGAAATCTAATAAATATTTTGCAGAAATGGTGTTGTTTTCATTTGTCTCAAACTAGTCCACTGATGTACAGGCTGCAGGGAAGAAGAATACAAACTAGGGAAGGACCATATATGATAGGCGTATTGGAGGCGTGTGGCGCAGTGGATTAGTGCGCTGATCTTTGAATCAGAGGATAGCAAGTTCGAGTCCCACTGCAGTCAGCATGTCGTTGTGTCCCTGAGACACTTCACCCCAAATTGCTCCTGTGGGGATTGCCCATAGTATTGAGTATGTAAGTCGCTTTGGATAAAAGCGTCTAACAAGTAACATGTAATGTAATATATAGATTTCCAGCCACCAAAGGTTCATGTAGAAAGGAAGAATAAAGAAGTTATTGTTCGACTAACCTGTTTTTGTTATGGCCAGGGGTCAGGGTCATCTTATACATCGATGACATAAAACATTACAAAGATCATTTAAAAAGACAGGCAGCTAAAGTAATCATATTCTATAGGTTATTCTTTCTTGCTTTATATTTTGATATGTCCAAATTACTTTTGTTTCTCCACAAGGTGCCTTCAAAGAAAGGAAAAGCTGAAAACATTTAAAAAAACGATTTTAATACATTTTAGGTTTTTGAGTGCAACAAGAAACATTCATTTACAGACTTTGATAAGTATTTTCCCATAAAAGGGAACCAATTAAGTCATACTGAAATAATAAATGATACACATTTTGCATTGCTAATTAGAGCATTGTGGGATGCACACAATGCAATGTGTGTCAATATATAGAAAACATAGTGTAATATGTACACACACTACATAACTTTTACAAATACCCTGATTGTCTTTCCTGAGTCTTACTGCAGAACACATGATTGATTTGAGAGTTGTATGTCTTTTAAAAATGGACCTTGAGTCTCTTCAATAAAGCTGATGATTGGTGCAGTCCCTCATGGCGTGCGCTTCTGCAGCTCCGCCTGGTACACACACTTCCCGTCTGTCTGCATGAAGCTGAGCGTCATGTGATGCTCGCTGACCTGGAAGTAAGCCAGCCCCCCCACGGTGTGGTTCACAGGGCTGGAGTACAGCTGCCAGGACGGGGGGACGCTCCCTTTGTGAGTGGTGGCGGTGTCACTAACCGTCCCACTGCCACTCACTGCATAGGAACTCCCATCATCCTCTCTGATGAACTGTGGTAGGACGATAGTGTCAAAGGTGTAATGTGAATTATGGACACATTTCCACGTACACAGTATTGTTTGTGTACCTGTATGTTGTGGTCGTGGCCGCTCAGGTACACCGTGACGTTGAACTTCTTCAGGAGGGGCCTCAGTCTTTTCACCAGACAGGAAGTGGGTCCATGATGGCCGACGGACCACACGGGATAATGACCAGCCACCACAACATAGTCTGACCTGAGAGAAGGGAATATATAGGCACATGTACATTATTTGTAATTAATTTCAGTCGTAATAGTTTCATAATTAGTTTTCTACGTAGGATATTTTTTATATATTATTTATTTTCTTAATTCTTTTTTTCTCCTTTCTGTTTTTCCTTCACACATTTTTTTTTTGGCAATGACAAAATGTGCCACCGTCTAAATGCTCACTGACTAGTTAGTGCCTTTTATAATTATTCTTATTATTCAGTGTCTCACTTGCTGCTGGCCAGTTTATCTGAGATCCAGCCCCACTGCTGCTCTGCGGCTGAGGGGTACTCGGGTCCTGAAGGCTGCGCCTGGTCGTACGTGTTCCCACACAACACCACGGTGTCGATCATCAGGACGCCCACCGACACATTGGTGTGGGGGACAGCGAACTGCAGCTCGTAATACAGACCTGGGAAATTCCTACAAACACAAACAAGTTTTTAAAGTTATATCAAATTATATATTGATAGAAAATATAGGAAGCAGGGTTTTGGGTGCCAAATGTATTGATGATTTTACAATTTTGCAGCTGATATATCATAAATATTTAGCTCACTTTCACACATTTGATACAGAAATGTATGTGAAACAACCTGGTTTGTGTTATCGCCGCTATGTTTGAATTTAAAAACATGTTAAATTAAAAAAATAAATAATATTTTGTATTTTGATTCAACATTGAGATTACATTTGTACATAGGCCTACAGTCGTTAACAATTACATATATGTTTCTGAGCTTGAAAAATATTATTATTATTATTATTTTTTAATAAGCGTCCCACAAGAAAATGTAGAAAGAGAATGCAACCACATTTTAAATTCATTATAATAGAAGGGTGGGAAGACTAATTATGAATTAAGTGCACAGTGGGATGCTTTTCATTCCTGTTTCAAATGAAATAATGTTGTTAGATATTTACCATCGCTTGGATTTGTTGGAGTAAGCGATCTGAGCGGAGATGTTGCCCCTGTGGTCGTGGTTTCCTGCAGTGAGGTACCATGGGATATCCAGCAGAGAAGCCTGGGAGAAAACCCCTTCATATGTGTACTGTGGATGAAACATTTCCATTAGGCCTACATCTCTTTTAAATGTGCCACTGTAGGGCTTCCATTGATATGACTTCAGCCTTATCACATATATGTCTCAACCTCACAGTGTTTGCTCAGTGATCTGACCTTAAAGCGAGGGTCATCCACACTCTTCACACCATCGAAGTAGAAGTGATCTCCCAGGCTGAGCACAAAGTCCACCCCCTCGTTGCGGGCCAGCCTGTCCAGCTCCCCAGCCACAGCCTCCTCGTGGGGGGTGTAGTACGGAGGCAGAGGAATACCCCCCCAGTCCCCGAGCACCACGAAACGCAGGGTGGCTGTGGAGAATCACAACACAGCTCTGTCACTTCCTCATCACAGTTAGAGAGGTTTCAACACATGATTTACCTTCAATATTTGATTGAGTCATACTTCCTGAAAAAATTACATTGAAAGCTTCCTGATTGAGATTAATACATAATATAAGGAAACAGAACCTGGCAAATCAGGTCTACCAAATTCATGACATTGCACTTCAATTATTTGGCAATATATCTCTATTATGCTGTCCTTAATTAGAAATTGTGGGTAAAATAACGACAATATTTCATTGATATGTCCAGGCTTAACCCTGGCTCCTGCGTTACCTGGATCCAGAGTGTGTATTTGAGTCCAGGAGAGTTGTACGCAGAGCACCAGCAGCACACACCTCAGTCTGTCCATTACTTCTGTCTGTTTCTGCTCTGTTTAAAAGTGAAACCACACCACACATGTGACTTCCTGCTGCAGGCCAGGCGAGGAAAACAAGATATTGGCTCGTGATCAACAAACTGAATGAGTAGCTCCTTGAATGCACATTTCTGTAACAGTCACGCAGGTTCCATTGCGCAATATCACATTGACAGCTGGGAAAATGTACAAAACGATGACAAGACCTGTACCGGCAAGTCAGGTAGCTCCATATAATCACAACTGTTCTCTCTGTGAAACTGCTTTTAGTTTCTACACCTGTATATCATATGTATGTTTTTATCTTCATCATTGGCAGTATATTTTATTACATCGCAACAATGATTTTACTCAAATGTACTTACTTTTTTGGATTGCATGAGAGCTCTGGGGATGATTTGGCTCCTGGTTCAAACCTATGGGTTTTAAGTTATCAAAGAAACAAGCTGAGCAAACGTTAGAGGTGACTGCACTTAGGCAATAACTCTGCAACTCTGATGCAACAAAGACAACAGAATAGCCAGTAACATTTGAAGACAGCAAAAATCAATAGTGTTTATTCTGTCCTACACTTCCATATTGTGGGTGTAAACATGAAATGTCGTAGCTATTGTAGCAGTGTGAGGATGTATTTGAGTATTTGTACCTGTGTACTTTTTGTTATGAAGTCATTCCTTTATTCTATATTTGTATACCAACAAATCTCGACAAATACCAAAATGAACAATGTGTCTGTATCTTATTAGTGATATCAATAACAAACCTTTTAGACACTGGACACTTGGTCAATGTAGATTTAAAAAAAAGAAGTAATTGGGCATTTATTGGGGACTTTATTCAGAATAATAACGTCAGTGCTAACATCAGTGCTATTCCTTAAATTCCCTTCCCTCATTAAAAGTCATCTATTGAGTTAGTTGAACTCAGTCATTGTTTGCTAAGACTCCACAGAGGTGTTGTAGATGTGCATTTCTGTTGGGTAACATCCCACGAGGTGCTGAAAGGGAACATAAGGGCCTTAAAAATGAACAACTGTGCCTGTACTGTAGCCTACATTGTGTTTCAGTGTTTTAGGAAAAAAGGAATCGAGAGGTGGCATGAAAAGTTGGATGAAGACAGACATGCATTGATATCACAAATTAAGTGTTATAAAGAAAGAAACAGAAGGGTCGCGGTATTATTGTGTTGCAACACGGACCAGTTAGTGAAGGTACCGTGTGTAGGTTGTCATACTAGCTTGACATGTAGTAGCAAGCAGATGTGCTTACCTTGTCTTCATGCTAATGGGAAATAAAGTGTGGAGTTCCATACTGAACACACCACCTCTGACTCCCTTTCATCGGCTCTACACTGGTGACCCTGACGTTTTCGTGATAGATTCCGAAGACTTAATGAACATGGCTGATCGCGATGTTTATGTTAAACTGCCGGAGTTTTGGGAGCATGCCGCTGTAGCGTGGTTCGCACACGTGGAGGCACACTTTACCTGCCGACAGGTCCGTGACAGGGACTTGAAATATTTCCAGTTGGCAGCAGCGCGCCGCTGGGGAGCTCCACGTTGTCTAGGTTGGTTGGATTTATCGCAGACCCCCCACGCCATGGCAAATATGAGGCGATTAAGGCCCTTCTCCTTAAGACATTTAGCTTATCTGCTAAGGAGAGGGCCCGCCAGATTCTTGACATTCAAGGCCTAGGAGACAGCAAGCCATCTCAGCTCATGGAGAAAATGCTGAATCTGCTGGGGGGGGGGGGATCCCCGGATTTTGTTTATGGAGCCGTTCCTGCGCCACTTCCCGGGTTCAGACTGCAAAGTGCCTATTTGGGGTGTTTGACATTGACTTCCTCGGACATCGCGTCACCAAAGGCCGTGCAGCACCACTGCCGGCGAAGGTTGAGGCTGTTGCGGCGTTTCCTCGCCCGCACACAGCCTGGTCGCTCCATGAGTTCCTGGGGATGGTGACTTTCTACCACCGTTTCATTGCCCGGCCGCCCACATTATGCGGCCGCTGTATGAGGTGTTGAAGGGTAACCTAGGCCACTGTGGTGAGAGTAATACATATAGCTTGTATTCCATTTGTTTGAATGTATATACTTTATCAACAAACTGGTTACCCTTTTTTTTAATTAGCATACAGAACATTATGAAAACAAACTTGACTAATGGTCGGCTCATAACCTCAGAACACAGAAGAGGAAAAACTGCATAGATTCTCGTTTCATTTTGAAGGAGCTGCAGACCTAAAGTGTGTAGAAGACTTAAATGATTAAAAAGGTCACAATCACATTAATAAAGCTGTACTTGGGTTTTAGTTTCACTTTTACAAAACAGAGTTCCACATGTACTTTCTAGCATGTATGGCCATCTCCTCACTAGTCCTATGCTGCTGCTCCCCTGCCAGCTCTGTCTCTCCTTTATTCATCTTCTTCTTAAAATAAGAAGATATGTCTGTTGACTTTCTCTTCATTTTCTGCAAATTGACATTACACACAGCAGTGATTAATAGTAGCCTACGCATTACACCAGCCCAGCATACCAACATCAGCTAACGTTAGCTTAGCAAGCTAAACTAACGCTAACTAGAATAGCTGCCAAAGTGTGTTTACAGACAAATTATACCTGAAGTCTAGCCAGCCTTTACTGAGCCCAGAGCCTCTTTTCCAGGTCTTCCAGCGTTTTTCTCGTTTTAATGCCATTGAACACAATTTTTTATCAGAATAACAGCTAAAGGTTAGCATATCTCCGTTTTTTGCAACCTAACACACTAAAGCCTAAAGTGTTGTGGGGCTTAACAGGCAACGCACGTATACGACTTACCTTCTAGAAGTCCAGTCAGTAGAAAGAAACGTTTTGCTGCAACCTGCTGCTGTCTGTGCGAATCTCAGAGTGGTGCACGCGAGTATCAGAGTGGGGCGCGCGAGTATCAGAGTGGTGCGCCGAGTATCAGAGTGTTACCATGGTAGCAGAGGGAGAGGGAGGGGCTGCAGTATGAGCGTTGGAAGCTCAAATCAAGCGACTCGCTGGCTGTGTATTTGTTGTTAAATATCAGATAAACTACGCATACGTGACTGGCGAGGCGGTGTGTGTGTGGGGGGGCCAACAAATATATCAGGGTGGCCATGCCCCCCCCTGCTGGCGCCACTGCGCTGTGAAAGCCACGAGGAACTACGGTAGGATCGTTCAGAATTGTTACAAGCTGTGAAAGACCTTCTCAGATCAGGATAAAGGTCAATCCTGCAACAACTCTAAAATAAAACCTCCTGCAGCTGCTGCGTTACTGTCAAAATGAGTCAAGAGGGGAGTCGGCCTAAAGCGCCTGCCACTCAAAGTGATACAGGGAGTGGGCTCGGTAAAAGACAGCCTAAACTCACTGTTAAAGCATTGGAATTAAAAATAGCTTCAATTCAACATGAAAGGAATTCAAGGATAAAGAAACTGCATAAATTAACAAAGGATGTTGAACAGTTGATACTTTCAAGCCAAAATGTGTCTGAGGTGGAATCCATGTGAAATGTTTGTGAAAACAATGATGAAATTAAATGAGTTGCATGAGTCACTGAATCCATTAATACCAGAGGATGAAGTTATAAAACAAAATGAATGGTTTGAAACACGAATGCACGGCAATCGAGAAATGATGAATAAAATGGAAAGGTGGTTGCAAACTACAAAGGAGCAATTTACACATCCTATTGATGATGATGTAGTAAATGTCAACGCTGCAACCAAAATGTGGTAATTGATGATATCTGTCCAAATGACAGCGTTTCTAATGTAACCAGAAGAGCATGCACATCAGCTGGCCGCTCCAGCCAGAGGTCCAACATATCATCCATCTCGTCTGCATGTATCAAGGCGGAGGCTGAAGCGGCTGCTCTCAGTGCTATGGCGGCTATCCTCAAAGAAAAACATGCACTGGAGTGTGAAGAGCTTAGCCTCGCAGCAGCCAGAAAGTGTGAAGAGGACAGCCTCGCAGCAGCCAGAAAGTGTGAAGAGGAGCAGATCAGACAACGCAAGGAGTGGCTTGAATTCCAAAGTAGAATTGCTGCCTATACAGCAAAGGCCAATGTGCTCAGGTACAGAGGATCTGAGGTTCAAAGCTCAAGGGCTGATTCAAATGGAATGAGTTCATATCTAGACAGAGCCAAAAGGAAAATCTCTCTTAGACCCTCTGCTACAGAATTCATCCCACAAGGTTCAGAAGGTCAGTTCAACCCCTAGCCAACAGGGGGCAGCAGAGCTGTAGTGTCAGTGGACACTGCACAAGGATGCAAACTTGCAGTACCATAATCCTACAGAAGAGGATAGGCACTTTGCTCTGTCAATGGGTGCGCGCCCCAAAGATTCAAACCAGCAGTTGCATCATCCATCAGTAGGTGGCAGTAACACTCTATTGCCAATGGAGGCATTCACAGCAACGACAATACCAGAAGGAAATGGATCTAAAGCCTATGAACTCAATCCCACGTCATCTCAAGTATGTCAGCAGACATTCCCTGCCACACAAGTCACTCATGATCTTGACACACATTTGGTGCAGGAAACCAACCAACATACAGGTTCAGTGCAAAGTAACGTGAATCAAGGCAACATTATCAACATCATGCAAAGGCAAAATGATATCACAGCTCTGCTGGTGCAGCAAGTCAACATTGTCACTGCCACCAAGAGAAATACCAACCTTTGATGGAGACCCTTTGGAGTATAGTGCATTCATACGAGCATTTGAACATGGAGTGGAAGCAAAGACTGCTAACAATGTTGATTGCCTTTACTTTTTGGAACAATACACCAAGGGACAACCCAAAGAACTGGTTAAAAGCTGTCAACACATGCCACCCGACAGGGGATACCAAAGAGCAAAGACACTTTTGAGAGAACGCTTTGGAAATCAACAAATAATAGCCACTGCATACATGGAGCAAGCGCTTGGATGGACACCAGTGAAAGCAGAGGATGTTAAAGCTTTGCAAGCTTTTTCTTTGTTTCTCCGTGTTTGCTGCAATGCCATGGAGGACATAAGCTACATGTCAGAGATGAATATGCCAACTAACATGCGGGCAATGATCTTAAAGTTGCCCTATAAAATGAGGGAAAGATGGAGAAACCTTGCTTACGAGCTACAGGAGAGGCAACATCGTCAAGCAAGTTTCAGCGATACTGTCAAGTTTGTTGAGCGACAAGTATCTATTGCCTCTGATCCGCTGTTTGGAAACATTCAAGACACATCCATCTCTTCACCAAAATACATAAGTGGAAACAACATATCACAGCCTCGCAGCCACCAGAAAGGAAGCAGTTTTGCTCCTTCCGTTGAAGCTGTCAATCGTGGAACTGCTCCTGAAAAGCAAAAGGAGAATAGCCTACCGTCAGGGTTGGGAGGGTTACTTTGTAAATGTAATCAGTTACTGATTACTGATTACATGGCTCTGAAAGTAATCCGAATACAGTTACAGTTACGTGTCTTAAAAAAGTAACGTAATCAGATTACTTTTAGATTACTTTTGGATTACTTTCTTTTTCCATCACAGATATGTTTTGGTGTACAGGAGACACAAAAAGCAAAAGGAATGTGTTTTTACTGTTTTAATGGCTTATCAAGAGCACAACTGAAACATAACATCTGAAACGATGTAACAACATAATTAACTTTTTGGGGATGCAGCTTGGGATGTGAGGAGTGAGGGACACGGCTTAGAACGAGCGTGTCGCCTTCTGTCCTGCCAGTGTTGGCAGGACATGAATTAAAATGTCAAACTCGGACTTCATTTTAAGGACATTACGGCCAGGGGTGTAGAGCTATATTTTTTTAAGCACCGGATTGGTAAAACAGGAGAGTGTGTGCACCAGTCTGCCTTGAGCTATGAATTCATGTCCGTGACACTCACAGTATCTGCTGCCCACAGCTGTTTTATAGAAGGAACACCTCCTTCACTTCATGACATCTCTGCAGCGCCAGGAGGCAGCGGGAGGGTTAACTCAGCCTCTGAGAAGACGAGCACGCAGTGCCTTTCACGCACCGCCTTCACCGTGTTTACCTTCAGAAATAATCATTGGTAAGGCTAAAGACAGAGCGACCGCAGGCTGATGTGTTTTAACCACACACACGCGATTTAAACGCAGACTTGTGTTCCTCCATGTTTCGTTGTTATTGTTTCACTGAGCGGACCAGCGATTTTTTTTCAAACGCTTTTTTGGTCCATCTGCGGCGGTAATAGGTTTTGTGGACTGTGATGATTCGGCTGTACCTTTAGTAATGAATATTACATGTTGTGAGGAAATCTTTCCACCAATAATTCCAATAAGTAATCCAAAATGTATTCACTTCAGGTTTACGAAAGTAACTGTAATCAGATTACTCGTTTTTCAAATGTAACGCGAGCTGAATACAGTTACTTGATTTTTGTATTCTGATTACGTAACGCCGTTACATGTATTCCGTTACAACCCAACTCTGCCTACCGTATAGGCCAAGAAGGATATCTTGTCTGCTGTGTGAAGAGGATCACAAGTTGGAGACATGCTACAAAATGGAGAGGATGATGCACACAGAGAAAATTAGTTTTCTGAAAGAAAAGGGTGCTTGTTTTGGTTGTTTAGCTGTTGGACACATGAGTAAGGACTGCCGCAGCCGCCTGTACTGCCAAGCAGGGACGTGCACAGACATTTGGAGGGGCTATTGCTCTAAACTGGAAAAAGGGCCTGCCCCCGAAAAAAACATAAGACCTTTTGAAAATTGTAACTTGTTTTTAATGTAAAAGAAACCAAACGATTATTACATCAACTAAATTGAACAGTGATTCACATCTCATAACAAAATAAGCTAAGGCGAGTACTTGCATTCGGTGACTTGATTTTAAAAATGTTTTGCGGTCCATATCTCATTCAAATATCTAATGTTAGTAACTATTAAAGATAAAATGGGGACAATTGTGTTCTTATGTAGCTTGACCATTGTAACTGCTGTGCAGACATACTGATAAAATAAGGCCTCTAACTAATTACCTTAAATAAACTCACTAATTAATGAAACCAGTTCAATACGCATTATTCTTATTCTTATCATTCTTTATGAGCGCAGTGACGGTAAGGTATCTAATTACTTAGTTATTTAGTATTCCATAACTTAGTAACAGAGATGGTCAAACTGAAGTGGTAGAGACAAAGCAGAAATCCTACACTGAAGCGGGACATTGAACTGTTCATCCGTGAGAGGGCGATCAAGAAAAGAGAGCGAGCGGCCGCGTTGAAGGAGTTTACAGATGAGAAGACACAGAAAGACAGAAGCACAATAACAACAAGTAGGCTATATTTAGGTGTTTTTTTGTAAATAACCGACGGTATCAAGAGGAAGTAAAGTCCCCTGGTTTGTCCCTTATACCCTAACTGCCATGAGACAACTCAAAATCAAGTTTCCAAAATCCGACACTGAGGTGGTCTTAACGCACCGGCATATGACAGCGCTGACAAAGTGTGTTTCCCGCAGCGAGACGCTACAATACTAATTGTGGGCTTATCATGTTGATTCGGCCACAACAGAAAAAAGAAAAACAAACTCTCGCCCTCTCCAGAGGGGCAGGTCAGCCAAAAAGGCCAAACGGGCCATTGCCCGGGCAACATTAGCCCGTACCTGTGCACGTCCCTGCTGCCAAGTGTGTAATTTAAAACATCCCACCATCCTCCACATCCATTCACCAAGAAAGGAAGTCTCATCAGAGGACATACAGCACGAAACATCAACAGAGGATCACAAAGTTTCTACCAAAACATGTGGCCATATTGGGGCTGGAGGACATGATTGTGCCTTGTCCATTGTGCCTGTTCAGACCAAGGCTACAAATGGCATGCACAGTGATAAACACTTATGCCTTCCTAGATCCTGGTAGCACGGCCACCTTTTGCTCAGAGCGACTGATGAGGGAGCTTAAGATGAGAGGAAGAGAATCCAAATTCCTGTTGAGAACAATGAATCAGGAAAAGCTTGTGGATATAGTGACATCATTTCTGGGTTGGAGGTGGCTGCACTCAACAGTAACAATTACTATGAGCTACCTGATGTGTTCACACAAACTGTAATGCCTGTGACTCGTGACAACATTCCAAAACAGGAAGAGTTAAGTGCATGGCACCACTTAAACTCTGTGAAACTTCCTGTCATTGACGCTGACGTGGAGCTGCTAATTGGAGCTAATGCCTCAAAACTCATGGAACCATGGGAGGTGGTGAACAGCAATGATGAGGGACCTTATGCTGTCAGAACCCTGCTAGGGTGGGTTGTCAATGGACTGCTGAGAGGAGACCGCCA